TATTGAACTAAATGAATAGTTTGTAGACTGTAAAATACTTGGTGTTTGGTAGTTAAAATTGAACCAGGAATGAAGGTGTGTAATATTGAACTAAATGAATAGTTTGTAGACTGTAAAATACTTGGTGTTTGGTAATTAAAATTGAACCAGGAATGAAGGTGTGTAATATTGAACTAAATGAAAAGTTTGTAGGATGTGAACTACATGGTGTATGGTAATTAAAATTGAACCAGGAATGAAGGTGTGTAATATTGAACTAAATGAAAAGTTTGTAGGATGTGAACTACATGGTGTTTGGTAATTAAAATTGAACCAGGAATGAAGGTGTGTAATATTGAACTAAATGAAGAGTTTGTAGACTGTAACATACTTGGTGTTTGGTAATTAATTGGTTTATAATTAACAAAATAGAATAATAAAAAGTACTTAATTTCATTGCTTTATTTTGGTAATTATCATTAATTTTTGTGAATTCTTAATCATTTCAGTATACCAAGAAAACATGTAATAAAGTTAAAGAATTTTTTCTTTAAACAAGAGTTAATGCAACATCTGATATTTCTTTCTAAAAATAAGAGATAAATTAAGGTGAGTTTTTTTTCAGATATGGTGTGCTTCAGGTGTTAACCTGACAGGAGGAAGAACAGCAGATGGAGGTTCAGTTGTTGGTGCCAGCATCTTTTACTCTTCTCCATCTGAAAAGGTGGACCTACCAAAAGCAGATACCACTCTCACAGAAGTGGACAAACTGGATAAGGAGCTAAAGGCAGTTGTTTTCATGAATAATTTTTTATAGCTGTCAATTAATTCTGTTAAACAGTCGTTTACCTGTTTATTAACACTTGTTCACGATATATTTATAGTAGCCTTGCACAGTACGTTGATTCTCTGTAGACATGAACCTTAGTGACACAAGAATACCATGTATTTAAATCATTTAAAAAGTCTTTGTTTGCTTGTGTATGTTTCAGGAATGTGAGAAAGACCGTCGTGAAAGTGAAGAATTGGAACAGAACCTCACGTCGCTAGTTTGGATATGTACTTCTACACACTCGAGTAGTAAGGTGACTGTGATTGATGCAAACAATCCAGCTGATATCCTGGATTCTTTCCACGTTTGTTCTTCTCATCTTCTGTGTATAGCAAGTGTTCCTGGTACACACATTATTTTTGACATCAGTAATATATTTCTGATTTAGTGTTGTGATATTTGTATTTTCAACGTACAAACTGTACCTTTATTCCCATTTCTAGTAACACAGACCTAGAACCAAGTTTGTTTTCACTGACACGTTTCTCCAATACCTCGTATTGTCCTAGTCAATAAGATGTATAAGTAAGTTATGAAACAAATTTGCAATATTATTATAAAGCTATCAGTTCACTTGTGTCTCAAGTTTTTTAGTGCTAACAGTATCTCATGCAGTGTGACATCTTGGATGTGAAGTTTTGGCTACATCTAACACCATGATTTTTTTTTTGTATACAACATACTAACTTTTACTAAGAGCTTATCAACTTTTATAAAGATACATTAACTAAATTCAGAATTTTTATAGCTTCACAGAAGTAAGGCCATTCACACTGCGTTAAACACAATCTTGATTTCACGTGTTAAGTTAATTTGATGTCATGTTATAACACTTTCAGTAGAACCATCTAATTCTGATCTTAACACTACTGTCACTTTGATTATGTGCTGGTTTTCATCTCGACACTGCTGTCACTTTGATCACGTGCTGGTTTTCATCTCGACACTGCTGTCACTTTGATCATGTGCTGGTTTTCATCTCAACACTACTGTCACTTTGATCACCTGCTGGTTCTCATCTCAACATTGCTGTCACTTTGATCACGTGCAGGTTTTCATCTCAACACTACTGTAACTTTGATCACGTGCTGGTTTTCATCTCAACACTACTGTCACTTTGATCACGTGCTGGTTTTCATCTTGACACTACTGTCACTTTGATCACATGTTGGTTCTCATTTCAAGACTACTGTCACTTTGATCATGTGCTGGTTTCATCTCAACACTGCTGTCACTTTGATCACGTGCTGGTTTTCATCTCGACACTGCTGTCACTTTGATCACATGCTGGTACAGACTAATGTTTTATGGAACATCACTAAGAGCCTGTAACTTTGGAATAATTTCAAGTCAAAAGATGAAGTTTGAGTCATATTGAAAGACGTATATTTTATACATGGTGATAGTATTTTAATATTAATACCACTTTGTGATTTAGGGTTGTAAGATATCTAGAAGCAAAATATAAGATTAAGAACAACATGATAATATTTTTTTATTGTTTTCATGTAGGGGCCAAAGAAACTGATTATCCTGTAGATGACGAGTTTAATAAACTAGGACAAGAAAAAAATGATGCGGAAGATATAAAAGGAGAGGATTCTCCTGAAATTCTGAATGACAAAGGAGATGAAGTAATGAATAATGGAACTGGTAAAATTGGCAACATTACATTTATCAGCTGTGCCACAGGAACAGCTGTCAATAACAACAACGACAATTCACAGTTTTCTCCTAAAGGTGTGTCTAAATTTTCATGTTTTGAAGTCTGTCAACATGCTCTTTTAGTGAAGGGATAAAACTACTACATTTAACATAAAGATTAGCTCTGTTTTACAATTAAACAAAACTTCAAAATTGTATTTACAGCCTTGTAACATAAATATTAGCTCTGTTGACCAATGTATCAGTATTTACAGTTAATCAGAACATTAAACATTGTACCTACAGCATTGTAACATAAACAATAGATCTGTTGACCAATGTATCAGTATTTACAGTTAATCAGAACATTAAACATTGTACCTACAGCATTGTAACATAAACATTAGCTATGTTGACCAATGTATCAGTATTTACAGTTAATCAGAACGTTAAACATTGTACCTACAGCATTGTAACATAAACATTAGCTATGTTGACCAATGTATCAGTACTTACAGTTAACCAGAACATTAAACATTGTATTTACAGCCTTGTAACATAAATATTAGTTCTGTTGACCAATGTATCAGTATTTACAGTTAATCGGAACGTTAAACATTGCACCTACAGCATTGTAACATAAACATTAGCTCTGTTGACCAATGTATCAGTATTTACAGTTAATCAGAATGTTAAACATTGTATTCACAGTTAATCAGTAAAAGCTATAACTTTCCAGGCCTTAAATCTGTTATATTTGTAAATTTTAGTTATTACTATAAAATTGTTGTGCCTGTGAATGTACACATAGTAACTTCAATAATGAAACTAATTATTAACTACATACATTTTTATTTTTGAAAACAGTTACTTTTATTGTTGATGAAACATTTGGGGATTTATTAATGACTGTTTAAGTTACATCCAAAGTTGCAGCTGTATGAACTTGGATGTTGGAATATTGTAGGTTTTTTTTTTATGAATGAAGTACCTTAACTTCTTAACAAAGAAGTTAATTGACGTATGTAGTTTTAAAGTCAATCTACATTGGCCCGGCATGGCCAGGTGGTTAAGGCACTCGACTCGCAATCTGAGGGTCGCGAGTTCAAATCCCCATCACACCAAACATGCTCGCCCTTTCAGCTGTGGGGGCGTTATAATGTGATGGTCAATCCCACTATTCGTTGGTAAAAGAGTAGCCCAAGAGTTGGCGGTGGGTGGTGATGACTAGCTGCCTTCACTCTAGTCTTACACTGCTAAATTAGGGACGGCAAATGCAGATAGCCCTCGTGTAGCTTTGCGCGAAATTCAAAAACAAACAAACAGACAATCTACATCACCAAGAACTTAAAAGATTTAATTTATTTCATGTTCCTAATACATTTTCACTAAATTAAAAATAATCCTAACTTTTCTGATCACCAGTACTCAATAGTGTTAAAGCACTGACCTTGTACATGGCATTGTTTCTGTAAGTTTATAAAGCTGATTAAATTATATTAAAATGTTCACCTTTTTTTACTTCTCTCTCTCTATATATATATATATAAATATTGTTCAATATACAGTTGATAAGTTCTAGCTTGGCTTAGATGCATTGGTATTTAGAGAAAAATATGAAGTTTGTAGAAAGACCAGCAGAGGAATTTTCCCCCAAAAAGTATATATTCTGTGTAGCAGGGATCTCTGCTATTTTTATTATGAAGTTGAAATGTAAGGTTTTCAAAATACTTGTATAAAAGTTTTCACACTGGTTGGCATCATGTGTTATTACTTCTACTAAAAAAATTTAATTTGTTTGATTCAAACTTTCAGATAAAAACGAAAAATGCTTTTTGGTAAGCCTGTTTAGACATCTAGGAATATAAGAATGATGGGATGGGTAGTTTTTGGTAAGCCTGTTTAGACATCGAGGAATATAAGAATGATGCGATGGGTAGTTTTTGGTAAGCCTGTTTAGACATCTGGGTGTATAAAAATGATGGGATAGGTAGTTTTGGTAAGCTTGTTTAGACATCTGGGTGTATAAAAATGATGGGATGGGTAGTTTTTGGTAAGCATATTTAAACATCGAGGAATATAAGAATGATGGGATGGGTAGTTTTTGGTAAGCCTGTTTAGACATCTAGGTGTATAAAAATGATGGGATGGGTAGTTTTTGGTAAGCATATTTAAACATCGAGGAATATAAGAATGATGAGATGGGTAGTTTTTGGTAAGACTATTTAGACATCTGGGTGTATAAAAATGATG